AAAAATCAATAATATATATATATATATAATATAAAATATAAAATATATAATATATAATGTATAATGTATAATGTATAATGTATAATATATAATATATAATATATATACTTATATATTATATATACTTATATAATATATATTATATACTTATATAATAAATATAAGTATATAAGTATATAATAAATATAAATTATATACTTATATAATAAATATAAGTATATAAATATAAGTCTATATAAGTAAATACTTATATATAAATTATATACTTATATAATATATATACTTATTATATATAATATTAATATATATATATATATTTTAAAGTAAGGGCGAATTGGGGTGAATGGGCTTCAGTTCTTTTGGCTGCACTTGTCAGGAACAGAGCTTCTGTAACTCAAAGCTGGGAGTGATAGAGATACCAGTAGCCTACTTTCCCAGGAAAAAACTGTCACTCTAGTCTGGGAGATAGGAGGAGAGAGGAGATCCCATCTTCTTGTTCATAGCTGCCAAAAGAAGAATTCATATCTTTCCAGGTTAGGGGAGCGCTGATGTTAGGAGTGGGACATGGGTCAAATGGCACAGACTCTTGCTGTTCTTACCAAGACTTATTAGATGTTCTTGAATAAATGTTTCTTCACTTGCTCTATGTCAGAACAATTTACAAAGAAATTAAATATTTAAAAAAGATTTCTTTTCACCACTGAAGGGATTGTTTCACTGGTGAAATGTTTTGCCAAGTCCTTATACCACCATTCCAGAAGTCCTGTCTCTTGCTTCTTGAATCAGATAGTTTGTGGCTTTCAAAGAATTTGTTTATTTAAGTTGTTGAATTTACTGGCATAAATGTGTCCACTATATTCCTACATCTCTTTCAATGTTTGAAGGATCTATAGTGATGGTTCCTCTCTTACCTGATATTAGCAGTTTATGTTTTTTCTTTTTATCCTGGTTGGCCTTGCTCGAGCTTTATCATTTTACCTTGACCTCAAACCAACCATTGTTTTGGTTAATAGACTTTCTCTTTTTTGTTATTTTCATTGATTTGTCAGTTTCCCCCCTTTTTCTGCTTATTTGGATTTTTTTCTTTTTCTAGCTTCTTAGCTTTAAGCATTGATTTGAGATTTTTATCTCCCCTCCAATATGAGTGTTTATGCTATAAATTTCCTTCTAAGATCTATTTAGCTCCATGCCACAAATTTTGATATGTCATGCTTTCATTTTTATTCTGTTTAAAATATTTTAAAATTTCTTCTGTAATTTTTTGTTTGATCCACGATTTTTTTAGTGATATGTTTAGATACTATGTATAGGGGATTTTTCTGATATCTTCCTATTACTCTTTTTTAATTTAATTCCATGTGGTCAGACATTATAGTTTGTATGATTTGACATGGACAACAGTGTGGTGACTAGGGGGTGGGAGGGTGGGGTAAGGGTAGAGGTGGAAGAGTGCATAGAGAATAAGTGGTGATGGAAAAAATAAAATAAAATTTAAAACAAAGGAAGTTGAAAAACCATATAAATGTATATTTAAAGTACTTACATTATTTAAATTGCATTGTTTACCATGAGAGAACTAAAATACTAGGAATAAATAGTTCAAATTATCTGCCGAAACCGGTTTGGCTCAATGGATAGAGCGTCGGCTTGGGACTGAAGGGTCCCGGGTTTGATTCCGGTCAAGGGCATGTACCTTGGTTGTGGGCATATCCCCAGTGGGGGGTGTGCAAGAGGCAGCTGATCAATGACTCTCTCTCATCGATGTTTCTAACTCTGTCTCTCTCCCTTCCTCTCTGTACAAAATCAATAAAATATATTAAAAAATATTCAAATTATCTAAATCTTCATTCATCATAAGTAAATAAACATCAAAAATTGATAAAACAGCCCTAACCGGTTTGGCTCAGTGGATAAAGCATTGCCTGTGGACCAAAAGGTCCCAGATTTGATTCAGGTCAAGGGCATGTACCTTGGTTGCTGGCACATCCCCAGCAGGAGGTGTGCAGGAGGCAGCTGATAGCTATTTCTCTCTCAGCGATGTTTCTAATTCTCTATCCCTCTCCCTTCCTCTCCGTAAAAAATCAATAAAATATATATATATATATATATATATATATATATATATATATATTTAAATTTTTTTTAATTTTTTTTTTAAATGATAAAACAATTAGCCCTGGCTAGTGTGGCTCAGTTGGTTGGAGCGTTGTCTCATGCACTGAAGGGTCTCAGATTCAATTCCCAGGCAGGGCCCATATCCAGGTTGAAGGTACAATCTTGGCCTTGACAAAGGCCAATATTTACCTTAAATAAGCCTGTTTATTTTATTGTCCTTTTGCATCTAAGATAACATACCCTTGGAATTCTGAGAAATCTTTTCAAGATGCCTCAGGGCACACCCACACACCGGAGCCCGAGTATAGAACCCTTCATTGTTATCTTGTTTTCGAAATACCATCTCTATGTGCTGTAAATTAGAGTAAAAATTGTTAACCATCCATCGATGTAAAAGAAGTATGTGTCTCTGCATTTTACTCTTTATCAGAGTCATAGATTTCCCACTTTGCTTTCCCCTACCTCTCTAATCTACCACCAATGAATTTCATGTAACCCTCCTTTGTTTCTTCCTTTGATTCTAATGTATAAAATAAGCTGTAAAACTGCCATTCTATGGAGCATTTTCTGAATCCGTTGAAATTTTGCTTCCTGGCAATTGTCACCAGTTTGGCTCAAACTTACACAAATTCTCTATAGATTTGGATGTTTCTTTGGTCAATACTTCGCTCCAAAAATTTATTTCTTACTTTTACTATTTGTGATCACTAATAGGGATCACAGGAAAAACTCCCTAGGAAGATGGTGAAATATAAAAAGAACAACAAAAAGAAAGAAAAAGGTGTTCTACAATATTACCCTCACCTAAGACAAACGTTGAGAAGCTGACATTTTTAGAGTAAAAATGTTAGGTATTTTGTGCTGCATCTATTCAATTTTTATATTATAAAGATACTCATTTTATAATAGGAGGCAGTGGAAGTTTGAATTCTGGCTCTGCTGATGGTTGTGAGGCTTTGGTCAAGCTACCCAACCAACCTTTCCAAGCCTTAGAAGGTATTAACAGCTACCTTTATTGGTAGAGGCACCTCTCCCTGACACCAGAGAGGTGTTACCAGATAGCCCCAGTCAGTGGGAGAAGATTGTTCCCAATCTCAATCCTTGTCTTCTCATAGAAATGAATTTATACGAGACCTTGGCTGTGTTGTGGAAAACCAGTTTATTAAAACATGTACTTTTACTGAAAAAGTAATGCAAGCAAACCTATGCATCTGGCATATGAAGCACAGACAGGCTCTCAGCTAATTTGAAGAGCGAGTTGGGTGGGGTTCCGAGGCGTTATAGACCCTCCTGTCTATAGGTTTCAGAATTCCTTTGCTGAATATTTTGGTACAGATTAATTCTCAAGGTGCCTTTTTACTTTGTTGTTGCCTTCCCAGAATTCCCGAGAAGCACCTGGCAACTTTATCTTGCCAAGCCTGAGACTCCTGGCTTCTCTGTTTAGGGAGTAAAACCGCCCTTTTTTCTTTTCTCTTTTCCTCCTCCCTTTCTGCATTCTCATGGTAGGGAGGTGGTGTTTTTTTTTTTTTTTTTTAATATTTTTATTGATTTTTTTACAGAGAGGCTAGAGAGTTAGAACATCGTGCCCGAAACCAAGGTACTATAATACATGCCCTCCTGGGACCCTTCAGTCCGCAGGCCAAGGCTCTATCCACTGAGCCAAACCGGTTTTCGTGGTAGGGAGGTTTTTAACCATTTGCTCTCAGGTGTCTCTGGCTTGTTAGTTATAAAATGCTGCAAATTGCCCACACTGTTTGGCCTCGTTTTAACTTTCCTGTCTGTTCCTCAATTCCTCATGCCCTGGAATCCTGTGACATTTACCAATGATTGTTTCGTCAGATAATCGAATAAGACCATTTTAACACAATGCCCTACATGGATTTACCAAGCCTCTGCATGTTCCTATCATTATTCATAGTAAGTGAAGCTTGTATCCCAGTGTCTCAGTCAAAGCAATATAGATGCATACGGAAGAGAACGCTTAGTTTGAATCTTATTCACAGGCTGGTATTAGCCAGGCATTTAATAGCCGGATCCCGAATCTTTCACTAAAATAATTTTTAAAAAAACATAAAAAATGTATAAAAATGACCAAAAATATTTAAAACATACAATTATCCGTACCTATTTGCACATATTAAGTTTTATTTTATCTTACCATGTGATCATCCTAAGGTGACCAGATGTCCCGATTTTTAACAATTTGTCCCGTGGCGTTTAAAAAGTCCAAAAATCGGGACTTTTTTTTAAACGCCGGGGGATGTGGGACAAATTGTTAAAAGTCGGGACTGTCCTGCCAAAAGCGGGACGTCTGGTTACCTTAGATTATCTACTCCCAAACCTAATCATTTAGAAGAGCATTATTTAAAAAATATATATATATATATATATTTTTTTTTTTTTTGATTTTTTTATAGAGAGAAAGGGAGAAGGGATTGAGAGTTAAAAACATCGATGAGAGAGAAACATCGATCGGATATGCCTGCAGCCAAGGTACATGCCCTATGACCGGAATCGAACCCGGGACCCTTCAGTCCACAGGCCGATGCTCTATCCACTGAGCCAAACCGGTCTCAGCTAGGAGAGTGTCCTTTTATTCCAGGCTCCAGGTTGAGCTCAGAGAAGACTCCCTCCAAAAGGACCACCAAACCGAACACCAAGTCAGAAGAAATTCTCTAACGACAGCGTGTGTAGTGGGCGGCGGAAGAGGACCTACGTTAAAAGCCCTACTTTCAGGATCGTCTCTCAACCCAAGATCACGTGCTCACGCCCCGCCCCCTCTCCGAAAGCCGGATTCCAGGTTCCTAGCGCGACGGGGGCGGGCTGCTCAGCCGACGCTGCAGTGCGACAGAGGCGGGGCCACGGCCGTAAAGCAGCGCCCTGAGGTCAAGTGGGCGCGGAGGCGGCCGAGGGCACCTGTGCAGGTTCCTGGCCGGCGGCGGGTCATGGCTGGACCCGTGCGAGTCGGTGGGGCCGGGGCTCTGGACTTGGTCCGGGCCTTGCCCCGCGTGAGCCTGGCCAACCTCCGGCCGAACCCCGGCTCCAAGAAGCCGGTAAGTGGCTGGTGACGGTGCGGGGAGCGCTGCGGCCGGGGCGGAGAGCGGCCTTTCCCGAAGGGCGGCGGGCTGAGCGAGGTGGCCGAGCCCCTGGAGCCCTTCACTGCTCGGAGGAAAGCCTTCCCCACGTGGCCCCGACTCTGCATAAGCGTTACCTTTAAAAGCACAATTACGTGGATTAGGGAGGAGGAGCGAAGCCGCCAGAACTGCAAACACGATTGCTTCATTCAGAATTGGATTTAAAATGGAAGCCCTTTTCCAGTATGTTTTGGTCTTCACGTGGAAGAGTTTAATTCATTTGTTACATTAAATGTCTTTTTTTGAAAACCACCGAATGCACCCTTGAATAGTTATTGACATTGTCATTTCGAATATCCAATACTTGCTTTTGTGAGGTGACAGAAAATATTTTTTAAAAAGTATTTTATTGATTGTTTTTATAGAGAGGAAGGGAGAGGGATAGAGAATTAGAAACATCGATCGATCAGCTGTCTCCTGCACACCCTCTACTGGGGATGTGCCCGCAACCTATTTACATGCCCTTGACCGGAATTGAACCTGGGACCCTTCAGTCTGCAGGCTGCCGCTCCATCCACTGATCCAAACCAGTCAGGGCAATAATATTTTCTTTATAAGTTAGCTTTTAAGTAAAACAATATAGGTAACAATGATACATTTACAATTAATTGCAATATCAATTTTCTTGAATATCCTGTATCATTGTTTGTTATGGATGTTTAATTCCAGGATTTTTTCAATGCCAGATTGTCATAGAATCCTTATCCCCATCCCATCCTGGGGTCATTGCCTTTGAAGCACAACTTGGACTTCAGAAGAATCAGCTGCACTTCAGAAGCAAAGAGACTGCTTTGGAGTGTGTAGACACATTAGAGCAGCTAGAATTGTAGCTAGTACTGGTTGGTTGGATGAATAAATGGCACACAAAATATACAGTGAAAAGGTAAAAATAAAAATTTAAAAAAAATGCATCTGTGGATTATAAAACTCTTTCTTCATTTTAGGAAAGACGACCAAGAGGTCGGAGAAGAGGTAGAAAATGTGGCCGAGGCCATAAAGGAGAACGGCAGAGGGGAACCCGGCCCCGACTGGGCTTCGAGGGAGGCCAGACCCCGTTTTACATCGTAATCCCCAAATACGGGTTTAATGAAGGACACAGGTAAGGTGTTCTTTGCTTTGTAAAATAAAAATCTCTCATTTTCACTGAGAATCACCTGGAAAAAAAAATAGCTTGGTAGGAATGTAAATTCATGTTGAAACCAACTTTTGCTACTGTTTCTCTGAACCATTTTTGGTAATGAATTTTAGCCTGGATTAGTAGGAACAAAAACCCAGACGTTGCACTCAGACCTGCAAAATGGAGATGATAATGCCTGCTTTTGTGGTTGTTCAGAGGCTTAGCAAAATGTATATAAACATGTGGCCCATAGTAACAACCCAATAATTAATGCATAATTTAAATAATGGGTTTTATTTTCCACAAAGTCATTTAGTTGTGTAAATGAGTGAAATAAATGTTTAGAGAGGTAAATTATTTTTAATGAAAAAAATAAAATACTGATTTTGTTTCACTACTAAAAATCAAGCAATATTACATATTTTTGTTGTATTTGGGAGGGTTTTATTTTGTTAAGCTATCTAAAATTGATGGAGGAAAACAGGACAGAGCTTTGAGTTGATATGGAGAACTTACAAAAGATAAGTTTGACTAAGTTTTTCAGTAGTTACTTTCTTGTTTTGTAGCTTCAGACGTCAATATCAGCCTTTGAGTCTCAAGAGACTGCAGTATCTTATTGATTTGGGTCGAGTTGATCCTACTCAACCTATTGACTTAACCCAGCTTGTCAATGGAAGGGGTGTGAACATCCAGCCATTTAAAAGGGATTATGGTGTCCAGCTGGTAGAGGAGGTAAGTCTATATTCGGTTTATTTTGGAGTTACATAGAAGACTATTTCTGATTTCCATTTAATCAACACTTTGCCGTCTTCTTTTTAAAAAATATTTTATTGATTTTTTTTACAGAAAGGAAGGGAGAGGGATAGATAGTTAGAAACATGGATGACAGAGAAACATTGATCATCTGTATCTTGCACACCTCCTACTGGGGATGTGCGGAAACTAAGGTACATGCCCTCGACAGGAATTGAACCTGGGACCTTTCAGTCCTCAGGCTGAGGCTCTATCCACCAGGTCAAACCAGTTAGGGCAACACTTTGCCTTCTATTTATTTATTTATTTATTTATTTATTTATTTATTTAAAACATATTTTATTTTATTGATTTTTTTACAGAGAGGAAGAGAGAGGGATAGAGAGTTAGAAACATCGATGAGAGAGAATCATCAATCAGCCACCTCTTGCACCACCCCTACTGGGGATGTGCCTGCAACCAAGGTACATGCCCTTGACTGAAATCGAACCTGGGACCTTTCAGTCCATAGGCCAGTGCTGTATCCACTGAGCCAAACCGGTTTCGGCATGCCTTCTTTTATTTTTATCCTTTTGAGTTGTCATAACCAGTAAGTTGTAGTGATTTAGAAAGCCAGCATTTTTTGCCGAAACCGGTTTGGCTCAATGGATAGAGCATTGGCTTGGGGACTGAAGGGACCCGGGCTCGATTCCGGTCAGGGGGCATGTACCTTGGTTGCGGGCATGTCCCCAGTGGGGGGTGTGCAAGAGGCAGCTGATTGATGACTCTCATCAATGTTTCTAACTCTCTATCTCTCTCCCTTCCTCTCTGTACAAAATCAATAAAATATATTAAAAAAAAAAAAAAAAAAAAAGAAAGCCAGCATTTTTTATTGAGGGGCCCCTGTTCCTGGCATGTTCTTTCTCGTGTGTATCCATCCATTCAGATTGCTCCGTCACTTCCTTTGGTTCTCTGTTCAGATGTCATCATACCAGGAAGATCTTTCTTGGCATTCTTTCATGAGGGAGCACTCACACATCCCCTCACCCCCTTGTACGTTATTAATCAACTACTCCTGTTTATTATATATGTATGTCAGTAACATAGCTGTGTCCATTAGAGAGAAGCATTTGTTTATGGGAAAACCTTTTAAGATTCCTTTAAAAAAGTAAACCTTATGGATAAAAGCATCCTATATAATAAACGGCTAATATGCAAATTGACCAAATGGCAGAATGACCAGTCGCTATGATGCACATGGACCACCAGGGGGCAGATGCTTAACACAGGAGCTGCCCCCTGGTGGTCAGTGCGCTCCCACTGGGGGAGCACTGCTCAGCCAGAAGCTGGGCTCATGGCTGGTGAGTGCAGTGGCATTGGCAGGAGCCTCTCCCGCCTCCATGGCAGTGCTAAGGCAGTCGGACATCCCCTGAGGACTCCTGGACTGTGAGAGGGTGCGGGCCAGGCTGGGGGGACCCCACCCCACAGTGCGCCACAGCTTGAAGGGCATCTGCAGAGTGAGCAGGGTCCCTACGGCTGGTGGGGTTCTTTGGCCTGGCTTGCAGGGATCAGGCCAAAACGGGCTCTCTGACATCCACCGAGGTGTCCTGGAGTGGGAGAGGGCACTCTGCAAAGTTGCTGTCGCTCAGCAGCTCCTGCATTGAGCATCTGTCCCCTGGTGGTCAGTGCGTGTTATACCAGCCGATCAGCAGGTCACTTAGCCTTTTTTATATATAGATCGATAGTGTGATTCAGAATACAGACACTTGTGACTAAGCTCCCAGATTAACCCTAGCTTTGAGATCATGGGCAAGTTACTTCTGCTTCAGCGTAGGTACCGATCTGTGACATTGGTTTAGCAATAATTCTGTCATAGAGTTGTTAGGATTTTTAATACAGTCTGTAATTAATGAAGTACTGGGAATGAGTAGTTATATTGGTGTCTACTAAATACATCAAATGAAAATACAGTCATCCCCACTTACAGGAAATGAAAATTGGTAAGACAAGATGATGATGTTGATAGGATGTCAAAGCAAAGATATTTAAAGTAAGAATGACTAAAAAAATAAAATTTAAAAAATAAAGTAGGAAATGGCCTGGTGGGTGTGGTCAGTTGATTATCATCCCATGCACTGAGGATACTGGTTCAATTCCTGGTCAGGACATGCCTGGGTTGCAGGCTGGATCTCTGATGTGGGGGGCGTGCAGGAGGCAGCCCGTTGATGTTTCTCTCTCTCCCTCTCTAAAGTCAATAGAAACATTTTTTTTTAAAAAAAGTAGGAATGACTGTTACATAGTAGGCACTTTGGGGGAGAAAATACTATAAAAAGGAAGCTTGCCGTATTTTATTCAAAATATCTACTAACAGACTTTGTTTTGACATGTTATAGGGTGCTGACAACTTTAAGGCAAAAATTAATATTGAAGTACAGTTGGCTTCAGAACTAGCCATTGCTACAATTGAAAAAAATGGTGGTGTTGTTACTACAGCCTTCTATGATCCAAGAAGTCTAGGTAAGTTTGTTTGCAGTCATTTCCTTCTCTTCCTCTGTCTAATCCTGGCTGCTATTTAAAAAATCCTCATGGTTATTTGACTTGCAGTTCAGGCACATTGGTTTTCTGTTTTAGGATTTCTTATTAGTGGTGTGGCTAGTGAGGCTCCATCTTCTTTTAATTACTTGAGCCAGTATATCATAAAGCGGTTTAGTTTTTGTTTTTAATCATGAGGCTTAAATATGATGTTGCCTTTGTGTAAGAAATTCATTATTCATTGTTAACCCAGGATTAACTTTGATTTTTAAAGATGCAAACTTTTGAAAAATGAAGTGTTCCCATTTGCTTACTACTTAAGACAAGCGTATTTATAAAGCAAGTTCTTAGAATTAAGTTCTGATCTTAGTAATATTTAAAACTCAATAATGGAAATAATTATTAAAGATCATTATGCATATAGCCAATATTTGCATCTTTCTTTTTTTATTTAAAAATGTTTTTTAGAGATTCTATGCAAACCTGTTCCATTCTTTCTGCGGGGACAACCCATCCCAAAAAGAATGCTTCCACCCGAAGCCTTGGTCCCATATTATACTGATGCAAAGAATCGTGGTTACCTGGCGGATCCTGCCAAGTTTCCTGAAGCAAGACTGGAACTTGCCAAGAAGTATGGTTATGTTTTACCGGATATCACTAAAGATGAACTCTTCAAAATGCTTAGTACTCGAAAGGATCCAAGGCAGATTTTCTTTGGTCTTGCTCCTGGGTGGGTGGTGAATATGACAGATAAGAAAATTTTAAAACCTACAGATGAGAATCTGCTCAAGTATTATAGCTCATGAATTCCCTTCCAAGAAAGCAGAGTAGGAAGAGTACTGGAAAAGGGAATGAAACACATATTTCTCCTTGCATTTTCTTAATTTGTGATTCTCCAGATGCCCTTTTTAAAAATGTTTTCAGTGTGATCATATCTTTTTTTTTTTTTTTAAATCTAAAATTAAAATGTTCTAAACTAGGGTGGCATAGAGGAACTGCAATGACATGGATTCTCTCTCAAAGATACTAACGTCCTGGTGGTGTGTCAAAGGAAGATTATTTAGAATATTTCTCGATTTTTTTCATGATCTTTTCATCTAGGTCTTATCTTATTATTAGTGTAAATCAGAATGAACTTGCAAGTGGGATGGGATTGATTTGCAGGCCTGCTCAGTCACAGTTAGAACTAGTGAGCTAATGCCTCCTCTTAATCAGTAGCCCCAAAGAAGCTCTGCTACCCAGGGTTAAAATGGTAAGCCTCCAACTCAAGGATATTATGATATGGGATGTGAGTTTAAGGTTTAAGACTGGTGATTGCCTTCTAAGAAGTATGATATTTGCTATCAAAATTGAAACAAAAATTCCAAGTGAATTTTCTTAAGTGATGCATAGACAACTTAGGAATAAGTTACTAATGTTTTCTTTCTTTCTTTTTTTTTTTTAAAGAGTCAAAAAAAATTTTTTTTCTTTAATATATTTTATTGATTTTGTACAGAGAGGAAGGGAGAGAGAGAGTTAGAAACATTGATGAGAGAGAGTCATTGATCAGCTGCCTCTTGAACACCCCCTACTGGGGATGTGCCCGCAACCAAGGTACATGCCCTTGACTGGAATCAAACCCGGGTCCTTTCAGTCCCCAAGCTGACACTCTATCCATTGAACCAAACGGGTTTCGGCTAATGTTTTTTTTCTTAAAGAAAGTAAGTGTTCTAATTCTTATTAATATGCATTTACTTATTTCATAGATAATGAAGATCTTTGTCTTTTCAGTCATTTTAAATGATGTCGAAAAATTGTTCAGTGAGAATATATGTAAGCCATAAAAACAATTGGTAATGTGAAAATTAAGTACAGCTAATTAATGTGAAAGATTCAGCAATCAGTAAGCTTATTTAGGTTTTCAAAAATATGTTATATCTACCACAGTAGAAATAAAATGATTCCCAGCTCTGTATTTTCTTAAAATAAAAAATTTAAAAATCTAAATGATGCAATATTTTGTTTTGTTAACTTATTTATGTCATATACTACTGACCTGAGTTTCAATTTGTAAAGTAATTTATGTACCAATAATATATCTCAGTTTTTATTCAAAGTTATATTGTTTGGCTTGTTATTAAACTACTAGAAGCCCAATGCACGAAGATTCGTGCAAGAATGGGCCTTCCTTCCCCTGGCTGCGGGCACCACCTTTGCTCCAGCCCAGAGTCGACTTTCCACATTCCCATGCTGCCCAGAGGCCCAGAGCGGCTGGGATGGTGTGAAACGCCTGCCTCGTTGCCATGGCAATGACAAGCATCCCACCCTGCCCCTAGCTGCTCCACGCTTGCACATGCAAATTAACCCAACATCTTTGTTGGGTTGATTTGCATACTCACTCCTGATTGGCTGGCGGCCATCATGAAGGTAATGGTCAATTAGCATGTTACTCTTTTATTAGGTAGATTCTATTAATACAGAATTTGGGAGAATCACTATTAGGACCATATTCTATGATAGCCATCTAGAAAATTTAAAAACGTTTTCGTTTTTCATGGATCCCAAATGACACAGAGTTGGGGTGTTTGAATTAATTTTGGCTCCATTGATAGGTACCCCAAATCACAGTTGCTTGAATGAGATAAAGTACAGAGACCAGTTCAGGGCTATTTGCTAGCTCTCCTCCACAAAGTCTCAGAGCCCGTGTCTTCTCCCTGTTTAGCTTTCTCATCTCTAGAGTGAGATACATATCTATGATTCAAATAAAAATCAATAAGGAGTCAGCTTTTCCTAAGGAAGATGAAAAAGATGCTACTTTGGATTGAGGAAAACCTCAACGTCAATCTATTTGCATAGATATGAACTGCCTTAAATGTAAATAGATCTTGTTCTGTATTCTGGCATAGAGTAGTTTACCTGAAAACCCAAGTTTGGCTGCCAGCCACAATGAAAGCCAGACTTGTGAGATAGGTGCCAGTGAGAAAGGAAAAAAACAGGTTTATTCAAGTGACAGCAACCTGAGAAAATGGGGGACTCTTGTCCCGAGGTCCATCTCCCTACCTCAGTGCAGGCAGAGGTTTTTCTAGGGAAGGAGCAAGAAAGCAAAACAATTCAAGGGGAGAGGGTTGTGCAGGCCAGCACAGTCTGTTTTGGAAAGGATAGTGTGGTGTGCATCTCCTGGTTTTTGTTTTAAGGTCAGCAAATCATCAGAGCTGGAATGCCTGAAGGTCGACGTCTGTATCTTCTGACGTTAGTTCCTAGGATTCTTAAACACACATGTTGTTTATCTATAAGCTACATATAAGAGTCAGCAGTTACAGAAATAATGTCAAAAGAATGGTGGGGTGGGCTACAGTTCCTCACTGTTACAGGTAAGTTATTGCCTTGATTTAGTTTTTTTTATTATTTTTTAAAATATATATTTTATTGCTCTTTTACAGAGAGGAAGAGAAAAGGATAGAGTTAGAAACATCGATGAGCTACTTGCACACCTCGTACTGGAGATGTGCCTGCAACCAAGGTACATGCCTTTGACTGGAATCGAACCTGGGACTTCTTACTCTGTAGGCTGACGTTCTATCCACTGAGCTAAACCAGTTAGAGCTTGATTTATTTTTGCTGCTGGAGGTTTTCCTTTTGTGATTCAGTTTACAATTGTCGCTTTGGAGGGGCTGGTATTGCCTCAACACGAAAGTTCTTAATTGGAAACCAGGGAGGAAGTTAAGTCAAGGTAGATTACACGGGCGATAGTCCTCTAGTCTCAGAATGTACTTTTGAGGGACCTTAGGTTCCCTTCCTCCGAGCAGTATGATTAAGCTACCCTGAACAACAGTTAAAGATGGGAAAGGAGACAGGCAAACAACAGAGTTGCTTAATTGCTGTCTTAGGTGGTCTGTAGGTGTAAGGAAATTGTGATAGAATGGCAAAAGGAAGAATGAAAACAGGAAACAGATGTCTGGTGACTTGGAATGCTCGACAGCACTTACTCACTGAGCATGAGCTTAGTCACAGACAGCTGTATCCTGGTCCTAATATTATAATTGTGCAGGCAATTCTAAGTGAAAACAGGCACATTCCACAGAATCTGTACATTTTGTTTTATAAAGGCAATCCTCAAGTTGTATAGCAGGGAGATTCAAGTTTGTTTTTATTATGTAACAACACTGGACCCTAAGGGGCTGCTTGTACTGCTGGTCATTTACAAGGATAATGAGGGAGAGAACACAAAGGTAGATAGTAGCTTTTATCTTGTTCATATCACTTGAAAATCTATGTATAAAAGAAAGCTTCAGTCTAGATCAAAGTCCTTTCCTGGTGTGTTTCTTCAGTCTGTTTTCAGTGTACATGGTCTGTTTCTGTCCAAAAACCAGCAAAGTTTGAGCTGCTGATATCCATTTAAAAAGATTCTTTAACACCTGAGAAATAATTACTAGGGATTCCCTCTGTATTAAGTTCCTGGATTTATTTAATGTTACTCTATTCTTTGGGAAATGGAGTGGCTAATTCAATAGTAGAGAAAAATATGAGATAACAGCAGTGCAACCAAATGTAGTTTTTGTTAGAGAATAGCGTGTGCTCTCTAAAGTTAATATACATCCCAGAATGGCTGCCTCCGGATGCTTTGCTGGAGAAGCATAGTATGATGGAAGTAGCTCAGCCTTCTATGTCATAAACCTGGATTTTTTCCAGGCCATGAGAGTAGGTGAATGACCTTGAGCATTTACCCACTGTGCGCCCAGTTGTCTCCCGTGAGGGGTATAATATCTACCTCATCCTGTAGTTGGGGACTCCGTGATTCCTGTGGAGAGGCAGAAAGCGTAGAGAACCAGTCTGCAGAGCTGTGCAGAGAGGTTTATTTGGGCTTAGGTCCTAGTACCAGTGGTGTGATTTTTGGCACATTATTTAAGCTCTCTGCACCTCAGTTTCACCATTTGGAAATTAAGGATAACGATAGATCCCAATGCATATGGTTTTGACGAGGATTGAGAAAAGTAAGGTTTTCTTTTCTTTTTAATTTTTTAAAATATATATTTTATTAATTTTTTACAGAGAGGAAAGGAGAGGGATAGAGAGTTAGAAACATCAATGAGAGAGAATCATTGATCAGCTAGCTGCCTCTTGCACACCTCCTACTGGGGATGTGCCCGCAACCCATGTACATGCCATTGACTGGAATCAAACCTGGGACCTTTCAGTCTGCAGGCCGACGCTCTATCCACTGAGCCAAACCGATTTTGGCAAAAGTCAGGTTTTCTAAGCATGCGCCAGAACACCTGGCACATTTGTCTTTTTATTGTTGAGTTGTAATAGTTCCTTACATATCAAGATACTAACCTTTACTACATAGATGATTTGCAAGTGTTTCCTTACATTCTGTGGGTTGTCTTTTTCACTTTTTTTTTTATAGTGTCCTTTTATGCATATAGTTTTAATTTATATGGAACCCCCAAAAGACCCTGAATAGGCACAGCAATCTTGAGAAAGGACAAAGTGGGAGATATCATATGCCCCCAAACAACCAATCCAATTTTCAACTGGACTATAAAGCTGCAATAACTAAACAGTATGGTATTGATGTAAAGATAGATTAATTGATCAGTAGAATAAAATAGAGCACCCAGAAAGAATTCCTTGCTTACAATTAATCTACAATGAAGGAGACAGTGATATGCAATAGAGTAAAGGCAATCTCTTTAATAAGTGGTGATGGGACCCTAGGCTCTTTCACTCAGTGGTTACAGCATCATCCCATGGATTGAAGGGTCATGAGTTCGATTCCAGTCAAGGGCATGTACCTCAATTGCAGGTTTGATCCCCAACCCTGGTCAAGGCAACCAATTGATGTGACTTTGTCACATTGATATTTCTCTCTGTCTTTTCCATGTTCTAAAAAAGAAATCAATGGAAAAAATACTATCCAGTGAGGATTAACAACAACAACAAACAAACAAACAAACAAATGTGGTGATGGGAAACTGGACAGTTATATGTCGAAAAAGAAGTTACGTACCCTTTTTTTAAAAACAAAACAAAACTCCAACTCTTTTATTTTTTAATTTTTATTTAGTTAACATATTTTATTGATTTTTTTACAGAAAGGAAGAGAGAGGGATAGAGAGCCAGAAACATTGATGAGAGAAAAACATCTGTCAGCTGCCTCCTGCACACCCACCACAGGGGATGTGTCCGCAACCAAGGTACATGACCTTGACTGGAATCCAACCTGGGACCCTTAAGTCCGCAGGCTGACGCTCTATCCACTGAACCGAACCAGTTTCAGCTGCCCTCTTTCTTCTACCGTGTACAAAGATAAACTCAAAGACTTTAAACTAAGACTTGAAATCATAAAACTCCTACAGGGAAAATATAGGCAGTAAACTTTGGCATTGCTCTTAAAAATCTTTTTGGATAGATTTCCTTGGGCATGGGAAACAGGAAAAATTACATATATAGGACTACATTAAACTAAAAAGCTTCTGCATAGTGAAGGTAACCTTCAACAAAGTTAAAGACAATCTACTATATGGGAGAAGATATTCTCAAATGATACTTCACATAAGGTGCTAATATCCAAAATACATAAGGAACTCATACAACCTAACACCCAAAAAACAATCCAATTTAAAAATCGTGTAGAGGACCTGATTAGATGTTTGTTTCTCCAAAGAGGACATACAGATGGCCAATAGATATATAAAAATATGCTTAATATCATAAATCACGAGAGAAATGCAAATTAAACCATAATGAAATATCACTTCATACGTGTCAGAGTGGCTATTATCAGTAACTCTGCAAGTAAAAAGTACTGATGAGGATGTGGAGAAAAGGGAACCCTCATACACTGGTTGCTAGGTTTATGAATTGGTGTAATTGCCAAGAAAAACATTATAGAAAATCCTCAAAAAATGAAAAGAAGAGCTACCATACGAACCAGAATTTTCACTTCTATGTATTTAAAAGTAAAAAAGATATATGCACCCCAATGTTCATTGCAGTAATGACAATAGTCAAGGCATGTGTTCCCTAGCCATCTAAAACTAGGCAAGACTGCCACCTAGTGGCCAAATGTGCAAATTTCTTAGGAAATTTCTAGGTTTGATCTCAGTTCAACTTAATTAGGGTCATTAATTATTCATGACTTATAAATTCAACAAACACGAAGTGTTTATACATCAGATACAATGCTGAATAATGGAGATACTAAAATCAGAAAGGTAGAGTTCTGCTCTGCAGGTATACACACTCATTAGATGGAATCAGATAACTAACTAAATAAAGGAATAATTAAGTTACCTTGTGATAAATACTATATGTAACCTACTCTCAACACAGATCCACCTTTAAGTTTAAAGGCTTTGGAACAGGAGTTCCAAAGTCCTTCATTGGTTGTAGTTGGTGACAAAAAGAAGAAAGGAAATCAAATCCAAAGTATCAACATGACTTTTACATTTATTTTTATTTTACTCCCAGAAACACTATAAAGTTGTTTAGAAGTCAACTTCAGTAAGTTTCCTAAACTTATATTTATAGTATCTCCTTGCATCTTAAGGGTAAAACATATACACTGAGTGGCCAGATTATTATGATGTCTGAATGTATAATAATATGGCTACTCAATATATATATAATATATATATTTTAGAGGCCTGGTGCATTAATTCGTGCATGGCTGGGGTCCGTCCAGCCTGGCCAGGGATGGGGATATGGGTGGTTGGCTGGCCTGCCTGCTGGTTGAACTAAATCCTAGTTGAGGGGACAATTTGCATGTTAGCCTTTTATTATATAGGATATACACCGAGTATCCAGATTATTATGCATTCAGAGATCATAATAATCTGGCCACTCACTCACTGTATAACAAACTCTTGCTTTTAAAGAGTATATATTATGCATACATATTTGAAAGTTATCTGCAAACTATTTAAGAAAGAGATGCCCAGAAGCTAGTACACTCACAAGCTAGTGTTAAATGTGGTGGCAAAGTGGTCTACAGCTCAGCTTGGGTTTTTGGATAGATGGTCCTGTACTTCCAGAGCCAGCTGCTTATCCAGGAGGGCTGGGAAAGCTGTAAGCCTCAACAGCTTTCCCTGCACAATGGCGAGAGCAGTAACACCTCTTCATTGGGCTGTGGTGCTGAGTATAAGAGAGAAGATAAAAATTTTATTTAGCAAGTGCTGGGTGGAGTGAAGGTCCAATAAGTAAGAACATTCACTATTTATAAGAAAAAATTTGTCACTTGAAGAGAGACAGTCTAAAGACACATACTTCTTTCCTTATGCATCATGATCTTGGAGTAAAAGCTACTTGGGTTTGTGTCCCTGCCACTGTTATGGCCAAAGGTAAGACATTTCTTAGCCACCTGCTTTCTCTCACCTGGAAGATTCATCTCTCTGTGCCAGCCACTAGGGAGACAAAAATAGACCAGGGAAATGTTGCTCGTAGAATTGCTTTTATAGTAAGGCAGTGGGCAAAAAAGTAAGTGGTTATATTTTTGGATGTTGTAGTTAAAAAAGCTAAGGGCTGAGCATGAAAGGAAATTTATTTAGAGCAATTTGTTTTTCTGCAATTAGTCATTTAACATCATTCCTTTGTTCAAGGTATTGCCTCTTGTAGAAAAGGAGTTAGACTTATGAATTTTTAACATTTAAAAAGATCTATACGTATAATTACATCTTACTAATTCTATTTGGACAACCGTACTTGTAGGTAAACTTATTGAAATTCCATGAACCGATGGATATGGGAGCTTGTTAATGCAGAATCAGTTTCTGAATAAAAACTTGCATTTTAACAAGAACCTCAGATAATTTCTGTGCACATTCAACTTTGAGAGCCTGCGACAAGTTAGTGCTTGCATACTGCAGTACCACTCCCAGAACACTAAGAGGAGCCATTTCATCAAATTTCCTATTGTACTTTTTAAGGGTGCATTTTGAACCACCGCTGTTAAATCATTTTTTTGCAATCAAATTTTTTTTTCCATTGGAATAACATTTTTTTTTGAATGAAGAGAGAATAACGGTAATACAAAAATGTTATATGTGATACACAAGTTGTAATTAATGAATGGTTGTAGAAATGTTTTTAAATTTCTCTTTTAAAGTCTAAAACGTTTTAGAAAGACTAAAACAATTATTATTTGAAAAATCCAGGTATATATTTGAAAATGATATGATATTTGTATTATAGCTTGGGATGGAGGTACAATAAAAATAAGTAAATTAAATGGAAAATTTTTGCTTTAAACCACGGATGTGTGTGTTTGTGTGTATAATTTTTTATTTTAAGAAGTGCACTCACTAAAGAAATGAAAAAAAACATAAAAACAAGGATAGCGTCATTTCATAATGATATAAATAAACTATGATGAACCTTAATCCATTAAACCTCATCATCAAAGACATCTAGTCAAGGCCATCTGCTAAGAATGAACTTCCTGCTTCTTTCCTTTAGAATAAACAAAAATATATAAATTGAGACTTCAGGCTTACCAGCCACAGGGAACTGTAAGGCTCTGCCAAATGACAAAAGAGAGAACTTACATCAGCTTGTGGCTCTGCACTCCCGGGCCACACGGCCTTTCCCACGGGCCACCCTTCTCTGGCTTCTCAAGTCTCCAGTCTTCTTATGGAGTAGCTCCTTGTAGCACTTTTACCTTCTCCACCTCCAGGTTTTCAGATCCGGCTTTTTGGAGAGAGTTTTCCAGCTTGTGTTGGGCCTAACTGTACTTGGAGAATTAAAGGAATCTTTTCTATGGTACCGGTTTATCAGCTCATGGTCCTCCTTCAGATAGCATGGATATTCATTACTTAGGTCACAGTTGTAAGACGCACATGACTATAGATGAATGAAATAACCCCACAGATCAATGAGAAATTCAGAGAAGTAGGTTATAGCGTACAGAATCTGCACAGCCTTACCGGTGGAGAAATAATAAAAGAATTCAGTGTTGAGGAGAATGTGTAGAACTGGGTTCTCTAGGACACTATTGTTGGGAATGGATTTTGGTTCAGCCTTTTAGAGTTCAGCTTGGTAGTAGTTGCCCAATAAAATATACTCATATTTTCTTTTAGCTCAAAGCCATATTCTAAGCCAAAAGTGTTCTAACCCTAGAAACCCGACAACTGGCCTGCAGATGCAGAGAGAAGGCCAGTAGCCACGTTGTTTTGTTTTCCTGTGTGCCTGCCACTTGGGTCTATGGTATCTATTCTCATAGATCAAACCAAAGAGAACAAAATTTTGGTCCATGTAGCCAATGAGTTGTCAAATCAAGATTTCAAAATATTCTTCATATATCTCCCTTAGAAATAATAAACTGCATCAAAACGTAAATGTGATGGAAAGGGACTGATGGCAGTTAGAGGTAAAAAATGTCTCTTAGTTTTTTAAAAGGATTGTGAAATAGAGGGCTTTCCAGTTGGGCAGAGTGCCTGACCCACATTGCCTCCTGCCCGCTCTCTGGTTACTCCCACAGGTGGCCCTGGTCCTCGTTCCACCCCCTATTCTGGGAGCTCCTCCACAGCGAAGCCTTTCCTGTCTCCCACGGAGCTCTCCCAGGGAGAGGAAGGTGTGTGAGGTGTTATGGTCCGAAGTAGAATTCAGCCCTCCAGGTCCTATCATAACACAACACCAATGAGGCTGCTTGGGGTCCCCAAGGACACTATGTAATAACTGAGCCAAGATCAAATAATTAGAGATGAAAATAAAAAAGGGGGGGGCATTTTTTAGACACTTGCACTGAGCCGTAAAGAATGCCTCCACTTGCTCTGACTCCTTTGCGCTGGTCTGAAGCCTAGCTATGTGGTTATGTAAAGTGCCATCAAGATCTCTGGCTTCCAGGCAGAACTAAAGGAAATGGTTTCGCTTCTCCTCCCGGATACCCTCCTGCATTACAAATGTCTTTGCAAAGCCTGCAAATGGTAGAGTAGTAGTTCAGCTCATTTTACCTTGTTTTACAGGTACCCTGCTCAGTCTACAAAACGAATCTAAACAGGCACAACTTTATGAAAGCACTCATAATTTACTATAAGTATTTCTTAAAAGCAAAGCCAAATAACACATATTGAGTGCTGACAATGTGCAGGCCTAAGTCGAAGTTCTTTTTTTTAAATGTATTTTTTTTTTTTACCTTTTACAGAGAGGAAGGGAAAGGGATAGAGAGTTCGAAACATCGATGAGAGAGAAACATCGATCAGCTGCCTCCTGCACACTCCCCACTGGGGATGTGCCCGCAACCAAGGCACATCCCTTGACCGGAACTGAACCTGGGACCTTTCAGTCCGCAGGCCAATGCTCCATCCGCTGAGCCAATCTGGTCGGGGCTAGGTCTAAGTTCTTTATAGTATAAGTCAATGCAAGTCTCACCGCAATCGGAGGAGGGGGCGGGGGGAGCTGATAGAAATGAAGTTCATGGGTTCTGAGACACTGCTTTCCCACGTGCATCTTGAATGAAGGATGACTGCCTGCCAGAGTCATCATCCTCGTCTTCCTGATGGCATAAGAGGATACCCATAGGCCTTCCTGTTTCAGGCAACAAATCCCTTGAGGATCATCTGGAAAGGACTATGACTGTGTTCTGAAAGCTGGCAAGACCAAGAAAGCAGAAGCACTAGACCTTGGAGAAGGGGTGTCCAAAGTTTGATGGAAGTTCAAGGAGAAAAGGAGTGGAGCCATCTTTGAGGAAACACTGCTCAGGGACTATGATAGTGCAGAGAACAGCAGCCACTGTGTGTTGACATGTGGACAACAATGACCCAGCTGATGAACCAGTAGAGAGGGTT